GAGATAGTATATTTGGTTAGATGCTATTACCTTTATAAAACGAATAGATCAAAATTCCTATGAAAAAAAGTTGAATCATATAGTCTTTTTTCTTAGTAATATTATTCAATAAATCTCAGTAGTAAAGTTTCATTCCAGATTATACAAACTCCTGAATAAATAGATATTTGTTTACAAAAAAAGATTAAAATTTAAAGAGTTTTAATTATAAATTATCTGATTGAAAGTAATAATTATAGACACCTTATTCATATGATTTGTGATAATAGCTTAGAGACGGTTTGTCATCTTATCATCTTAAATGAGGTTTCATATTATAAAAAGATCAAAGTAAAAACTTATCAAAGAAAAAAAGATCAAATTAAGTTAACCAACGAGCCGTTGAAGCTGTAGCAGCTTCCTGCTCAAGAAGGTTATTTACTGCCAGTAGTTTTGTAGTCCAAAAAAACTTATTTGAAAAAAAAGTATTACAAATTAACCAACAAGCCATTGAAGTTATAATGGCTTCAGAGCCGATATTCTGCTCAAGAAGATTAATTATCACAATACCAAAATAGTTCAACTAGAATTAAAAGTTTATTTTTTATTTTTATTTTTATTTTTTTCTTCCACCTTAAAACTGTTGTGTATGTACGTGCATGTGTATATATGTGTGAAAAAAAGGATGCCAGTAAGGAAAGTAATTTGTTTTCTTTGATAATAAAAGAGTAGTATTCATTTGTAAGAGAAAAAAAAAAGTCCAGAAAAATCCGGCAAAAAAAAATTAGAATTGCCTACTTTTTTAATCGAAGTACTGTACTGTATATTTATATAAAAAATATTACTCAAAATGTCAAACCCAGAGCTTTGTTTCAATAAAGTCAACTAAGATATAAATAGAAAAGCACTTTTTTTTTTTATCTCTATCCAGAACGTAGAGATGATAAACCATAATTTACAATTAATATAAATAAACTATAGTTTACTCTAAAACTGTAGCAACTATAATTCTAAAATAAACTAGTTTATTTATACTTGCCACCTTTGACTTTATAAATGTCTGCACCTAAGCTTATAGGAAGCACCACATATAAGGCGCGTATACGCATTATTTTTTTTTAAAAAAAAATTATAATTTCGAAAAATCACATAAGAGTAATGCTAAGACTTAATTCATATAGTCAGTACACAGCAAAAAAAGTGCTATAGAACAAATTTTTTATTTATAGATATCAATATTTAATCAATTAAAATTTGAAATATAAAATAGAGATAAAAAATACTGCGTACAAACTTGTACAAAATTTTATTGTACTAATGCGGCTAAAAAAATTTATGAATACCTTAAAATTTTGCACTATATAAGTAATCTTGTATTTTTTAGTTTCTGAAAATAATTGCTAGAGGTGTTACAGACACAAAGTCGCATATTAACACAGTTATTAACAAAGTACAAATTATTAATAAGAAGGTGGATCATTTAATTCATGATCCTATTAATAATATGATAAACTTGAAAGCAGTTAAAATTAATCCAAAAGAGTTAGATGATCTTCCCAACACAGAAACAAAAAATCTATTGTTAAAAAGTTATACCGAGAGAATGATGTTGCTTGCAAATTTACAAACATCATAGACAACAAGACACCAGGAAGTCAAAAGATTCAAGTACAACTTGTAATTTTAGGAAAATTAAAAGAGTGTCTAAATATTTTAAGATTCTATGGATTCTCTAATGTGAATGATAACTAAGTTATAGTGTTTGAATGGGTGGATAAAGGAAATCTCAAAGAATTATATGAAAAAAATGATATTAATTGAGATGAAAAAGTTCACATTGCTTTAGATATTTATCAAGGTTTGATATTTTTACAAAGTTGTGATATCCTTCATCATGATATTAGGTGCAAAAACATTATAGTAAATTTTATATTATTCAGAAAGTTTTCTAGACTTGTGTTTTTTTTTTTGATTATAATCTCCTTTCTTTTTATTAACTATTAAATGACCATGCGACATCAACCAAAAATTGCAAATTTCTGATATTCTCGTGAAATATACCAAAATACTATATCGATATTATATATCTTCCTAAAATTAATTTTTAGTATAAATAAATATATATAATTTTTATATATATTGTAACTTATATAAGGGCTGAGTAAGTTAAAGTGTAAGTTAAAGTGTAACTTACAACTCTAGTATAACTCTATCTACGTATAATTTTGTACTTCTTTACTAATAACCCTTTGACCGAAACGCAGGCTAGCTGATTGGATCATATGAGTGTTGCAATGCGAAACTTTGAAAGTATAAGTTAATTATACACGCGTAGATACTCCAATATGTGAATAATTAGTAGAACAAATCAGAAGTAGTTGGTAAAATATCTACAATATATATTGATAATCGAATATATTTAAATAATATATATATCATAAAATATAATTTTCTTTTCTATTTTAAACTTGTTTAAATATCACCATTATTAGTAATATATTTATATATACTTGTAGGATAATAACTAAAAATATAAATAAAAACGTGCTTATGGTATGTTTTTTCTCGAAAGTAAAATGAGAGATATAAGAATTCTTATCCAGTATATATGAAATTGATTAAATAGTATTGGAAACTTTTATTAAAAAATTATATTTACTAGTTAAACAGCAATAATAATATTGATGATAGTTTTTTGTTATAGCTAAATTCGTATTTTTGCATTTGAGGTATTGGCATCTATCCAGGATCTTCGATTGGAACTTGGATTGAGATTTTATTAAGGTAAATTCTATTACTTTTTTTATTTTTTTGTTTCACGCACAGTAATACTGATTTTTTCATTTTACATGACAAATGTCTGCAAAATGAATTTAATTTTTTTTCTATCAGCAGTACTACAATTATTTATCAATGTTTAAAATTTAAAGAATGTTGTCTCCTTTTTTAAGAATTTTGATCTCAATATAGAAATAGTATTTATTCGTTAATAGTGGTTTGTTTTCTTATTTGAAT